GCTGCTGCCGCTGCTGCCTCTGCTGCTGCTGCTTCTGCTGCGTCTGCTGCATCAAAGAGATGAGCTCTGCTGCTGCTCCTCTGTGTAGTTGCTGCTCCTACAGCTATTCGTCGCGCTGTCTGCTGCTGCTGCTGCTGCTGCTGCTCGTCATTGTCCGTTGTGTAGTACACATGTTGCTGCCGCCGCTGCTGCTGCTGCTGCTGCAGTTGCTGCTTCAGTACCGCTGCTGTAGCCGCTGCTGCGCATTCTGCGTCCCCCCAGGAGGACTGAAAAGATACACCAAACTGTATCCATTTGCTGCTGCTGCTGTTGCTGCTGCTTCTGCTGCTGCTGCTGTTGCTGCTGCTGCTTCTGCTGCTGTTGCTGCTGCTGCTGCTGTTACTGCCTCCCCAGTTGAGTGTATCCACAAATCTTTTTCCCTTCGTAGGAAGTTTCCTTGTCTCTGCTTCTTCTTCCCCCGCTGTTGTTGCTGCTGCTGCTGTTGTTGCTGCTGTTGCTGCTGTTGCTGCTGCTGTTGTTGCTGCTGCTTTTGTTGTTGTTGTTGCTGCTGCTGCAGCTGCTGTCTCTGCCCCACCTGCTGCCTTGGGGTTGCTGCTGCTAGGCTGCACAATAAAAGATTCATCGCTTCTCTTTGAGCAATCCGATGGAGCTGCTGCTGCATTTGCTGCTGCTGTTGCTGCTGCAGTTGCTGTTGCAGTTGCTGCTGCAGTTGCTGCTGCAGTTGCTGCATTTGCTGCATTTTCTGCTGCTGTTACTGCGTCTTCTGCTTCTGCTGATCCAGCTGTGTCTCCATCTCCTTCTCCTGCTGCTGCTGCTGCTGCTGCTGCTGCGGTGTCTGCAGGAATCCCTATAAGTTCTCTGTCGTGCAGCCAACTGTGTCTCTGATCTCCTGCTGCTGCTGCTGCTGTTGCTGCTACGCCCTTCCTTGCGGTGTATCTGCAGCAAATACCGTTGAGGTGTATAGGCCAGTCACCTATAGGGATATCCTTCTTGGGGTCGCTAATATTGCTGCTGCTGCTGATTCTGCTGCTGCTGCTGATCCTGCTGCTGCTGCTGATCTTGCTGCTGATTCTGCTGCTGTTGCTGGTCTTGGAAGGAGATTGAGACCCTGAGAAGACGCATGCAACAGCAGCAGCAGCAGCAGCAGCAACAGCAGCAGTATGCATTCTTTTTGCTGCTGTTGTGTTTGTCTATGGACTAAAGAGCAGCAGCAGCACGAACAGCAGCAACAGCAGCAGCAAAACGAACAGCAGCAACAGCAGCAACAGCAGCAAAGGTGCAGCATGCATGCAGTAATTATTCTTACTTATTTGTAATTCAGGTGTACATGCAGCTAATCTTATACGCGGTATGTCGTATGGGACCCCAAGGAATCCCTTCTGCTGCTGCTGCTGCTGCTGCTGCTGCTGCCGTTGCTGCTGCTGCTGGTAGAGGTAGTCTTGTGTTTTTTGTGTATACTGCTGGTGCAGCACCGCCGGGTGCTGCTGCTGCGGTGGTTGAAGATGTTGTTGGAGCAACAGGTGTGGGTGCTGCTGCTGCTGCTGCTGCTGCTGCTGCTGCTGCTGGAGCAGCAACTGCGGAAGCTGCTGCTGCTGCTGCTGCTGCTGCTGCTGTTGGTATTTAGCCTGACTGTCTGTGGGGAAGAAGAAGGTTGAAGAAAATGAATCGTCATTGAAGACAGCTGCTTCTCTTTTTGCTGTCAGTGCTGCTGCTGCTGCAGTTGCTGCTGCTGCTGCAGTTGCTGCTGCTGCTGTCTCTGCTGCTGCTGCTGCTGCTGCTGCCGGCCAACGAGTTCCTCCTGTAGTCTCCACAGAAGAAATCAAGATTTCTGTTGGAGTTGAGGGTCTAGAAGATCTCATTGCTGCTGCTGTTGCTGCTGCTACTGTTGCTGCTGCTGTTGCTGCTGCTGCTGCTGTAGTTGCTGCAGGAGGCCTGTAAGTATCTAATGGGGCCCTGCCTCTTGGGGGGCCCCACAAGGGGCCCCAGCAGCGCTCTTGAAGCTCATCCGTCATCCCCTACACTCGCTGAAGCAGCAGCAGCAACAGCAGCAGCAACAGCAGCAGCAACAGCAGCAGGTATGTCTGCTGTCCGCAGCAATAAAGTATTAAGTCAATAATTAGGCAACAACACCTTGAAGGGGCCTCCTAAGGGGCCCAGGGGCCCCTCATGTAAATAATGCTCCTTGGGTACCCTCAAAGACGAGATGCAGCAGCAGCAGCAGCAGCAGCAGCAGTAGCAGTAGCAGCAGGAATAAGAGATGAATCAGCAGCAGAAGCAGCAGCGTTAGAAAGAAACCAGGAGAGGGAAGCAGCAAAAAGAAGAGCAGCCGCTGCTGCAGCTGGTGAATCTGCTGCTGCTGCTGCTGCTGCAGCAGCAGCAGAAGGGTCGTCACCTGTGTCCCTCGTGCAGCAGCAGGGTCACCTGCTGTAAACCCTTGAGGTGTACGTACACCTCAATAAGTGTCTCTATTTATCTATTATTTTATTTTTATTATATTTATTTTGTTTTATTTATTTATTAAGGGAAAAAGGCAAAACATACAAATAACAACAAAACAAACAACTTAGAGGGGGGCCCCCGCGGCCCCACACACTGCACGAGTTGCGGTGTATAGCCATGGGGGGCCCCCTCTTATTTAATTTTTAATGTGTCTTTCCTTATTGTATATTATATATATTATATAGATTATATAAATGTACATTATATATGTATAATGTATATTTTATACGTAAATATATATAATAACAATAAGGAGACAAAGACTATACAACTATAAGAAAAAAATAGTTGCTGCAGGGAGCTAAAACAGGGAGAGACAGTCTCCTTTTCTGCTGCTGCATCTGCTACTGCTGTTGCTGCAGCTCGTTAGATATTATATTCAATAGCAAAAGTTGCTGCATGCATGCAGACCTTCTTGTGTCTGCATGTATTTGTTTATATAAGAAAGATAGTCTCCTCTTCTCTCTTGTCTTTGTCTCCCTTAATCAATGGTTATAAGGCCCATTAATTGTCTTTGTTGTATGTGGGTGCATGCAGCCCCAATTGTTCACAAGTTTTCTACTGAATGGGTAATCAGCCACCCCCTCCATCTTAGACATTGAATTTTCTTATGCTGCGAAGGATTAGGACTAAATAAAAGATAAGAGGATAATGATTATGTTGGCCATTGTTGTGTTACCAAGCACTTGGTGCTCTATAATAAGAATAAGAGGAAGGAAGAAGGAGAAGAAAAGTCAACAAGTTCTTGTTTATGTTATTCCCTCTATTTCTTTCTTTTTATCCACAAGCAACATATTCATTCGCATATGCGTCGTTGCTCAGCAAAAGGTTGATAGACCGAGGGAAGGGCTCGTGCTGCAGTGTTTCTGCTTCTCTTATGCTTCGCCTTGGTGCATGTGCTTGGTACAGCAAGAGAATCTGCTGTTACTGCTGAATGCATGCAACTACAGCAGCACGCTAATGCCACAGGTACTCAGGAGTTACTTCTTTTTCGCCTGTGTACGCATCGGCTTGTTGATGCTTAAATGCCAACTGTATAGTAAATGGTCTAGAAACAATTACAGGCACACAACATCAGTGCATGCAAGAGGGGAGCCAGGCGATTGACCAGCTGCTGTTTGTGCTACTTCTTGACGTTCTTATGTAGGGTGCATCCATGTGAGCATAAGTGCCTAGGTAAACCCAGGACCTCCTTTCCTCCTTCTGTCCTTAATCAAAAAGTGTTGCTGTTGTCTTCTGGATAAATGCATGCAAAATTCCTCCAGTGACTAAACCCGTTTGAATGGCCAATATCCATTTCATGATAAGGGCCCCATATTCCCTGCTAGCAATGCTGCAAGCCACCGTGTATAACACGAGAGCAAAACAGTAAGTAAGATATCTTCCCCAACGCACAACGATCCTGTTAATGAGCCCAAAAGGGATATGCTGCTGTTAGTCTAACCTACATAGGGGGGTGTGGTTAGTTCAATGTACATGCGCCATCTCTTATCTTTTCGTTGTATGATCACCGTGCAGATACAAATCTACGTAAGGTGTGTGGATTGCCTTTCTCCCTGATTATCTTTATTGTCTTATTATAATTCTCCTCGTTGTTGGAGGAGATGAGAGGAGCAACGTCTTATTTCTTCATGGCCTAGTAGGTACAAAAAAAAGTGTTTGCTAATGTCTGCATGCATTCCCTTCAGTAACATTTCCATGGTATGCCAAGGATTGTGCTGTGGTGAATTGGCTAAACAAAGAAATTATAACCATCGTCTGCATAAGTCTAAGATTAAGGAACCAATTTACGCTCATCATGCTGCTGCTGCTGCTGCTGCATATTCTTTTGTCCTGCTAGCCGTGTTCAATGAGTGACCACAAAGACTTAATCAAGAAAACAGATATAGGTTGTATTTTCTTACACGAGCTACAAAAAGCAAATACAACTTCGCGACGGGTGTCCAGGACAGACACAAAGAAGAGGACAGACAGATATTCTACGACTCAGCGATATTTTTGTTTTTTTTATCCATACTTTTTTTTTTAGGTGGCTGAATCCCTCCACAGCTTACCTACAGATTCTATGCGTCTGCAGGTTTCCTGCATATTCTCTATGTGAGGGTTGTCAGCGTTTATGGTGATTAACAGGTTGCATGCAGGGTACAGGGCAGAGCAACGGCCTGTGGAGGCCCGTGGGTACCGCAACATCATGCATTCAATAGTAACAGCAGCACAGCAGCAGCACAGCAGCTGCTGCTCCTACAGCAAGAGCTGCAGAACCAAATATGCAGTAGACGGAAGAAAGCAACGGTGGAGCAGGACCAACCCGAGCTTCGGCAGCGATAAGAAGAGGGGTAGGGGCTCTCTCTAGTGTCTACCCTTCCCTTACCACGTAAGCAGACAAGCGCTAACTACTGCTGCTTGTGTACATATAGGGTCATGAGTTGGTTTGTCTAACGATACTGCGTCTCCCTCTGCATGCGTCTAGTGTGTCTGGCTACCAAGAAGAAGGAAGACATTCAATATTCCCCCCCAAGTGTTAGTGCATGCACTCTAAAGTGGGACTTTTCAATGTTTGCATGCGTAAATAGTTAGACATAACATAGCAGCAAGATGTCCTGCTGCTCCTTGCATGCGTTCCCCGCGTCTGCAGCGCATCAACGTTACTGATGCCCTCGGGTGTACGTACACTGGAGGTATAGTAAGTATCAGTTTCTTAGTATGGATGTGTCTTAAGGAGACATACTTTATTGCTGCAGATATAAGTTCTTTTCTTATAGAAAGGGATTGTCTCCTTGCTATTGTTATAATAAGAGGGAGAGGGGAGGGGAGAGGCGCCACAAAGGAGCACAGATAGGCGTGTCTATAGGTGTCTCCTTTATGTATTGGACTCCGTTATAAGGAAGGGTATAGTTGTTGTGTCTGCGGTGTCTTAGTGTCTCCTTTTGTATGTGCTTTGCGGTGTATATGCAGCAACATATATAATAAGGAGGAAAGAGAGAAAGAAAAAGGGGAGAGACAAAGACAGGAGAAAAAAAAGAAAATAAATGCATGTAGACACAATAAAGATGCAAAATAAGTAAGGAATAAAGGGGATAAACAAAGAACAGCAATAGGGGAGTTGCGGTGTATGGATGGATGTATGGATGTATGGATGGATGCACAGACTGCAGCAGTAGCAGCAGCAGCAGCAGCAGCAGCAGTAGCTAGCATATCATACACACAATGCTGCAGCAGCAGCAGCTGCAGCTGGATCTATGGGTATAAGTATATATATATAAATAATACAATAAAAAGAATAAAAAGAATAAAAAATAAAATAAAATATAATATAAAATATAATAATAATAATATATTTGTTGCTGCAGTAGTAGGGAGCATCGGGTGTGGCAGCAGCAGTAGCAGCAGGCTGCAGCAGCAGCAGCAGCAGCAGCAGCAGCAGCAGTAGCTGCATTGTGGAGGCACAACAGCATACACACAACACACAAACAGCCACGGGGTGTATGGTATAAATGTGTATAATAATAGGTATAAAATAAAATAAAATAAATAAATAAATAAATAAATAGATAAATAAATAAATAAATAAATAAAATAATAAAAAAAAACAGAAAATACAAACAAATACACCATACACATAAGACGGTGCGGCGGCCGGCTGCTGCTGCTGCTGCTGCTGCTGCTGCTACTGCTACTGCAGCATTACTGCTGCTGCTGCTGCTGCTGCTGCTGCTGCCACCTCCCCTCCCCCCTCAATACCTCCCCCCCTCCATACCTCCCTCCC